TCAGCAAAATAAATAGGTCTTACTAGATTAACATTAATGAAGGAATTTGAGAACGTCGCTGCAGTGTGCCACAGAGGATTTTTTTATATTCCTTAGCCTTCATCTAAAGCTATTTTAGACCTCATAAGCTATATCAAGCGTACATGACTTTGCCTAAGTAATTTACAAGGACGCAGCATTAGCTTTTTGCAGACAGTCCAAAGCAGCAGCACTATGCAGGTTTGGTGATCAGGCTCATGGGTTGGACACGAAGCTGCCACGGACCTACCAAACAAGTTTGGGTAAGTCATGTTCGCGTCTCAAATTAAACAGGGCAGATAGCATTTATCCATGTCCCCGGGATGTTGATAGGCAATGTTCAAAAGGAGAAAATATTCATGTTTTCAGCCACCAGCCCTTTCAAGTCCTTCAGCCTGAGTTCCTTACACATATGCTGTAATTCCTCCAAGCCTTTGGACTCAGATAACCCCAAACCCCAGTAACTAAGATCTCCCTACTATCGTACCTCTGCTACTAAGGATTCTCAACTCTTCTTTGACAACACTCTTGAAATACCTTTTTTCCCTCTTATTGGTTGTTGGTTTGTTGCTTGGGAATCCCTTCTTTAATTGAAGCAAAGCCCAGACAGACCCCACTTACAATCTGGTTACTATACTGACAAGAAGATCTGGAGGGCAACAAGGGATCTGTGACATCTTCAGATTGCCTCTACCCAAGCACAAGGACATATTTGATACAGTCACTGAGAGAACAAAGACCTTTTATTCGGGAAAGGGCAGGAGACAGCTTTTCCTGGAACGTGTGATGGAACACGTGACATTCTTCTGGGGAGATGCTGAAGATCTTCTGGAGGTTTTTGATAACAGAATGATCCCTGATGATCCTTCCCCCATCTTGCTGTAGTGCATCCCACATATGTGTCTCAACACCACTTTTGGACAGCGCTTAGGGCAGCCTCTAAAATAAGCAGTGCCTACAAAAGCATTACTTAGAGCAGCTGCTTGCTCCCTTCCTGCCCCAGCCACAACAGCCCATTCACCCATGTGAGCTCACCAAAAACAAATGAACCCAGGACCAGATGTTCACAGTGAAGAGCAAAGGTCTGAAGGGTGACAAACAGCAAGAATGGAAGTGCATAAACTGACAAATGGAGAGTTTAGTTGGGCATCAATGTTCAAGTGCAAATTGAAGGCCCTTAGGCAATGCAGCATGGGAGGAATGGGAGGAATAATTCATTCTAATTATTTTAAGAACTGCTCAAAGAACTGATTTTAAGAATCTCTGTTCCAACGCCAGTGCAGCTGTTGATGGTCTTGTTCTAACTGTGGCATCGCTGCTCCGCTTTCTCAGACCACATCCTTCTCCCACGTTCCCCAAGCTGCCCTGAGTGCAGGGACTGCGGGAGACTGGAGAGGTCACAGCGTGGGCGCCGTGTTAATTGCCAGAGTTGGTGCTCAGTGCGCTGAGCGGCCCGTGCCGCAGGGAGCTGCTCTCCACAGCCATGACGCTTGTCCCACAGCTCAGCGCGGGGAGGCTCGGGGCAGCCGCCTTGGGTGCCCAGCGCGCATGACCTTCGAGAGCAGGACGCTGTCCAAAGTGGGTGAGAAAAAAAAAAAAAAAAATCCGCACGTCACAGGGACAGCCCAACCTGGAGCTGCTGTCCCCTTGCAGCCCCCACGGTCCCCAACTGTCACCCACTGTCCCCTCTGTCCCCACTGTCCCCACTGTCCCCTCTGATCCCCTCAGCCCCCAGGGCGACCTCGCGCCAACGAGGGTCACGCGCACCTTACCGCCGGGCCGCGATAGGCCGCCGCAGCTGGAGCCCAGCCAATCAAGCGGCTTCCCACACGTACCCCCGGCGTGAGCCGCCCTGCTGCGAAGCCCCCGAAGAGGCGCAGGGCGGGAATGCCCCGAGGCAATCACAGTGCCTGGTGCCCCCCCCCGGGCGGCGATGTCCGGACCCCGCTCGCGGCCTTTAAGAGAGCAAACTTCACCCCGAGACCCCCTTTGCGCCCGGAATTGGCTGGCGGGGCCCCCGGCGGAGCCGCCTGGGCTGTGCGCTCCGCTATTGCAGCCAGCAGATGCCCGTCAGTCAGAGATGGAGATCTGCTCTGGATTGGGCAGTGGCCGGCTTCTGGTCCCGCGCGGGGCGGGGCCCGCGCTTCCCCGAAAGGAAGGTCGGTCGGGCCCCCCGGGCGGCGGGGGCGGGCGGGGCCGCGGAGGCCCGCGGGCTGGGGGACGCTGGCGCGAGTCTCACGAATGCGCTGCCCCAGGGGGAGACTTTGAAGGGTTCCCCAGCAGAAAGATCCATCGCCGCCGCCGCCGACGCCGCGATCAGCTGACCGACCGCCGCGCCGCCGCTCACTGACCCGCGACGCGGCCGGGGCGGGCCGCTGGGCCCCGCTGTGACGCCGCCGCCGGGAGGGGCCCGACCGGCACCGCGAGCTTACGGGCTGAGCGTAGCACGGAGCCACACGTGCGGAGGGGCGGCGCTGCCGGACAGGGCTCCTGCCGGCCCGTAGCCTCGGCCGCGGGAACCGAGGGGCTCCCGCCGCCGGCAGCCTTCGCCACTTTCTGCAGCCACACCGAGCTCGCGCAGAACACCCAGAGCGGTGCCCGAGTCGTGGAACGCCTGTAGCCATGTGGTTTTAGTTTTCCACGGCCTGGTGTGGGAGCACACTCGTAGGAATTGGGAAGAAACTCTTTACTGTGAGGGTGGTGAGGCACTGGAACAGGTTGCTCAGGAAAGTGGTGGATGCCCCATCCCTGGAACTGTTCAAGGCTGGATGGAGCTTTGAGCAGCCTGGTTTTAGTGGAAGGTGTCCCTGCCCATGGCAGGGTGCTGGAATGATGACTTTTAAGGTCCCTTGCAACTCAAACCCTCCTGTGGCCCCATAGATGGTGGTTAGTAAGGCACAGTGTTCTGTGACCTGCTCCTGGCCTAATACCGCACCCTGCCCAAGCCGCGGCTGCAATCAACCAACACCCATACCCGGAAAATGAGGACATGTTAACAACCAGCACAAATCCTGCTCTAACGCTGCCACGCCTGACATCCCATGGAACACAGTCAAGTCCCAGGTGTTGGTCTCATCTGACACTATGAACCTGAATGGAGGTGAGGCAGCAGGGAAGAGGAATGCCCCAATGCTATCCGTGGTACTCAATAGCTTGTCTCCCTTCAGAAAGAAGGGCCAAATGGCCAGGGTCTTTCAGCAATGATTAGGGTGACCTGTGCTGCTGCAAACAGTACAGCTTGCCTGCAAACTGAGTGAGCTTAGCAAGGATAGGGTTGGATGTGCTTTGCTGGGAAACACTAGATACGAGTAGTAACAACAGCTGCAGAAAGCAGTGCATGCCAGAAATGAACGACAATACTCCAAATGTTAAAAAAAAATTATATTGTAAGTACAGTACAAAAAAAGTTTCTGTGTATAATTGTAATGTAATCGGGACCAAACAGCAAAGAAATAACAAAAATATAAAAACGGCTAAGTCTTGCCAAAGTTTTCCCTATAGTACCAAATACCACAAGATACAGATTATACAAAGTGTACAAATTTTAATACAAAATACAATACACCAGGGTTGTGTGTGTTTTTCACTCTTCAAGAGTTTTTCATTGTACAGACAACAAAGCTAAAGCTATCCCCTTCTGTTTCTTCGAGAGCAGATCTATCCCTTCACCACAATGCTCTCAACTGTAAAGGGCTGGAAAAAAAGTTATTTTGTGCCGCTCCCAGCAGCAGATGGTTCTGTATGGGCTAGGATCCCTCCTGGGACCTTCCTAATTCTAGGCTCACTGGGATTTGTCATATGTTGCTAAAACGTGTGTTCTGGTCCAGTGGTCTGAGAACCTTCTGCCTCCTCCACTAACTGACTGACAAAACCTCTCACTGCGCTGAGAAAAACTCTGTAAGAGAGAGACTACCTTGTACACAGGCACATCTGGGGAATACATAGTGAAGAGGTATTGGGAGAAAAACCCTCCTGCACACCCAAGGATTTAATTTACTTCCGATTTGGGGCTCAGCCAGAATGAGGGACAGTTCACTTTCAACTATCCTGAAAAACAGAAGCTGGACTTACTTGGATGTAAAAAATGGCTGTTCTGTAATTTTAAAACTTTCTTGTTACAGAGCTGGAAAGGTTTGAGTCAAACTATATTTCAGTTTTTCTACCTTCTTTCACAAGATGTCCTGTTTTTACAAACACTTAGAATCTTCCTGGTGTTTTCCCACATATAGCTGATTCCTGCAGGAACAGGTGAGGCAAAGTTGATTCCTATTTTCCACACACTGTTGGCTGAGGGAGGGATTTTTGCTTTTAAATTATGTATATATATATATATACACACACACAGAGAAATATACAGGATAAATTAAATCTGTTACAGATATCGGTAAAAGTTAAATACATGTGATATGAACACCACATAAACATATAAGACAGACAAAAGTCTAAACAGGAATCAAGTCTTCTTCTGCATCTCCTCTTCTGGAGGAGCAGAAAACCAAACTCCAAGTATGTGGTTGGAAGGAAGAGGAACCGATCCAATCAACTCACATGTGCCTTACTCAGCCGTAGCTGCTTCAAACTGGTCAGCAGTCACTGCCTTGCAGCAGCACCACAGCTCTTTCAATAGTGCTGGTGAAAGGGATGGGGGGTGAGCAATCTCATAAAACAGGTGCAAGATGGGCAGAAGCAATCCAAGTTTTTCCCATCTGCTTCTGCACTCCTCTCCATCAGAGCAGGCTGACCATGCCCTGGAAAAAGCCAGCAGGAGGTTCATTCTCTCAAGCAAATGCAGTTGGTTGATACATTGTGCTAATGATGATTTGGGTATGAGTCCACAAGAAAAAATTAAACTTGTTGACATCTTCTACTTCACTTCAAATGCCAGCTACCAGACCAGCCAGCTGACACTGACAACTTTCAGTTATTATTGACTGAGGAGCGAGGGTTGGAGGAAGCGACCAAGAGGCAAAGACCTCTGTATCTTTAATCAGCTATCCAGCTTTCCCCTCAAGCAGTGGATTTTAAACTGAAAAAGAGTTACAAATACGGCTGGTGAAGAATTCAGTTCTATTCCTTGGTCCAAAATATATTATCATCTCTATCTGCCCATAGAATATCAGAATACTTTAGGCTGGCAGGGGTATCAGGAGGTCATCTGGTCCATCTCCCTGCGTAAAGAAAGTCCAGCTAGAGGAAGCTGCTCATTCAATTTTTGAAATCATCAAGAATGGAGAGTCAAGAACTCCTCTGGGCCAACTTTCTCATGGTGACAGCTTTCTTCTTTACATCTAGAAGTCCATTCTCTGCCTGCTTCCCCCACTAAAGGATCTGAAATTAAGGCAAGTATCTCAAAAGTCTTCTGAATTCTTCATACAAAGTACTTTCAGACTGGAGGACATTTCACCCAATGACACAAAAGGGTTTTCTCAGCTTAATTTCACAACTTTTCATAAAATAGAAGTCAAATAGTTACAATCCTATGTATATACTATACACATATAAAACTTTAAAAGCCTCCACATGGAGCCCTTCAGGAGCGCCGCGTAGTGCATATGTACACAAATCAGTTACGCAGAGGTTGAGTACATCCCAGGATCCTTTTCCATCAAAGTCCAGGCATGATGTAGGCAATGTTGTCTAGTGTGTTTGACTGGGAAAAGAAATTCAGTATTTTTTTAGTGTCAGGCAATAACTCCAAATCCTTAAAAATTACACGGATGAGGGTAATAAGCATATTCACTTGTCTTACAAGTGATGGGACAACCAAATCTGCCTGTCGATCACTAGGCTTATTTTCACATTTTTGGAAATGTAGGTTAACTAAACATAAAGGTAGCCTCAGTATTTTTAAGCACCTGGAAACACTGAAAATGCTTGAGGCTTTCCCCAGGTGACTTCCTCCTTATGGACTCCATACTCTTATCTCTGCAAGCCACAGTAACCACATCACATCAACCACAGAAAAACCAGTGATGAAGGATTTGAGCAAGGTGATCAAAGTTGTAGCATATAGAAAAAAAATACTTGACTTTACACTCATAATTTCTCTATGAAATTCTGTAGTGTAAAAGTAAAGAGAAAAAGCCTTAAATGCACCCCAAAAAGGGTGTCAGATGGGAAAAAAAAGTGCTCTTCAGTTTTTCTTGCAAAACATAACACAATTCTCAGAGTAAGAATCTTTCCATGCACCTCAGAAAAAAAGTCCCCAGCTCTGTGTTTCTTCAGGTGCAGTACTTCAGTAAGCTCAAGCCTGTGGCTGGATAGCCAAAGGCCTTAGAACACCACCTTTTAATTGGAGGAGCTAGAGCTGTACCAGTTGTGATTCTAGAAGTTAACAATGCCACCTACTGCCTGAAAGATAAAATGCATTCTACACGCAACACAACTGCTGAATTTTATCCATTTTTGTTATGAATCTGACAGTAAAAATCAGAATTATTTATTTATTATCAACTCCTGAACACCAGTTTTCAGAATTGAAGGGTAGGTGCTTTAATTCACCTAAAGCTCCACTGCTCCTTATAACAATAAGTTGATCATGTTTCCAATAGACCCACCATTAGTCATGTGGTGTCATTGCACTTGGCAAGCAAGAAGGAAAAAAGCATATGATTTTTCCATGGCTTAGGATGGGAACATCCCACTGATTCAGCTTTTGTGCAGAGAGCCAGTTTGTGGGAGCTCACAGCCTAAGCTGTCAACTTTGTTGCTGTTGTTAACAGTCTGCTCTCAGAATGAATCAATGTTTAGGCTGCCCTATTATGACATGCCAATTCATAACCCATTTTTGTTGTTCTCTCTGCCAGATTTGTTTTTAGTCTCTCAACTTTTGCAGACTGTATATTTTTGATCTTTGCTTCTATCCTTCGCTGCTTTATTCACGTCTCCTGTTGGGGATGTGACTCCCGATTCCTTTATGCTGCTGCCATCTGAATCTGTCACATCAGGCTACATAGATGCCACAAGCTGTTGCTAAATCAGGGCTCAATATTAAGTGTAATTTAAAGTGGAAAACAACTATGCAGTTCCTTAAAACAGGGACTATTTTTCTTTCCTCAGAGAAGGTTTCAGCCACATGTAAAAGACCCTACACCATCACATGGGGAATACTGACATCACAAACTATTTTTTATGCTTCTAAAGGAAAAATAGCTTGTGTGATACAGAGCAGCTAGAAGGGGGGGTTTATGTTTACAGAAAATCAAAACTTTGAAAAATAGTGGTACACGTACTGGCACTTTTATTTGATTCACACGGATTGACTCATCACTAAAACAGAACCTACCCACACTGCAATTGATGCTACAAATATTAGGTCAGTTGCCAGTGGTAGATAAAAAGTTACACAGTATCATACAGTGGTAACATATAACCACAGGGAACTCACCAAAACGTGCCTCGGGCAGCCATTCAGCTCAGGCAGTTGTGTGGTCAGACATGCCAATGGGCCCAAAGCACAGATGATTGAATCTAGAAGTACTGACAAACTTCCTGAAACAGCCACCATTCCCTGGTAATAAAGAAAAAAAATTGGATGGGGATGAGTGTTGGAACTGATGGTTTTCTCAACTGTATCACTCCTCATGCAGATACAGTATCTTCAGCTCCTCTAGTCCACTTTCACTATTTACACAGTAACAAAACTGTGCCTTGTGCTTCACAGGGAGACTGCTGGGTCAAAAAATTTAAGAATTCAGTAGGCAACATACTGATGCAAGAAAAAGGTAGGGAACAAAAGAAAAGGTCAGAAGGTTGTGAGTTGCATAAAACACTGAATTCCCCAAATTTTTGTAATGAACTCTGCCATTTCATACCATCTATTTTGTTAACCACATGAGTCCTAATGACAAAAATTTTTGATTTACGAAGTTTAAAGAAATGCTATGTCTGTAACAAATGCTTTAGTCATTGATATACTTTCAGGAAGGGGAATTTTGTGCCTTTCTGTACTCTGGTTGTTCCTCTGAAAATTACCTCAGTCATCCCAAAAACAAAATGCTTGTTTTTATCAGCAGTGAAATAAATGTTCTTGCAAGCACAGTGCGATGAGATGATCACGCTACCCATAAAATTCAGTGGTATTATCTGAGACAAATATGTGTTCTGCTTAGAGTCTGGGCTGAGTTCTGAAAGTGCATGTGTGTATGTGCATTCATAGAATCACTATCATTTACCAGTAGGAAACCATTAAAATATGACATCTTCTATTACTAGGTAAGTTGAAACAATAGTAGCCCCTGTCCAAAGCACTGGCAATATGATACTGCCAGAAAACTACCATAAACAGCAATGCATCAAAAAAACATGGCACACCACCTCCAGTTTCTCTTCCTAAATGAAAATCATTGGTTAAACTTCTAAATTAAAAAAAAATAATCATCCCCCACAATCCAATGTGTAGATCACAGGACATCATGGTGACACTGCTGGTTACAGACTCACCTCTGTTTCCTGCAGTCTGTGTCCAATGAGGCTCAGGGATTCACCCAGCAGCTGTAAGTGTGCAGCTACATCAATAGGATCTGTCTCAGGGGCTTTGGCTGGTGAGGAAGGCACCACCACGGTGCTTGTGGGGGATTTCTTATGAGGGGAAATCACTCCTGTTGGAGAAGCTGGAAACATGCAAATTAAAATTCCATATTCATTTCTTTCACTGTTTTACTTACAAGCCTATTTACTTAGTAAAGTTCAAATCTCAAAGGCATGAGATGCTTAAAGAGTTCTGTGGACCCAATCCTGTGGTCTTTGGAGTCAAAGCTTTTTTTTCACACGTACAAAGCATCTACCTCAGCTGAATGCAATTGGGGAGATTTGGTATCAGTGATGCCAAACCAAGAATCAATTTTCCTCTAGCAGCAAAATTAATCCCACTACAACTTCCTTTCTGCCTTTTCTTATTTTACATTTCAATCCCTATAGTGCTAAAAACAACGCCGTTCTATGAATTAGACAAGGAAATCTGTATGAAAAATGCTGATATCATTCTCGCTCTCACAAAAAAATTGATTTGAGTAGTATGGTGATTTAAATGTCAAACCTTGTGAGAAAGCTGATAGGGATGTGAAGCAGGTAAGGACGTTTGCTCCTTATTCCACTGGCAACACTATCTTCCCTGACCAAGAAAAACAATGAGGGCAAATAAAGTGCAACAATTACCTTTCATTTTTGGTGCACCATCTGAAGATGATGCCTTTCTCTTCACAGTAGTGGCCTCTGCTTTATTCTGCTTGTGTTGGAGATACTGAGCTTTCTGTTTCCAGATCTGTAGTTATCGTGGTAAGAAAAGAGAGATTTATAACATTAGGTAATTCTGCTACCTGATGCCAGGACCTGGAGGCAGAATGATGTCATGTAGCTAACGGGTGAAGCAATACCATGAGAAGGAAATGAAGGCTTTTATGTTTGCAAGGGCAAGGTTTCCGTACTTTCCATCTTTACATACTTTGGGGACATAGGTAGCATATTTCAAGGTATGGTGGCAATGCTGCCAGCACATTCTGATCTAAGCACCTAGTTTACAGAAATCATTTTACAAAAACATCTCACACGCACACCCACCAGTTTGTCCTTCTCAGGTAGCTGCTTCCACACTTCTGCCAGTTTTTTACTTAGCTCTCCAAAATCTGGCAGAAAGAAAGAAGAAAAATGTTTAAAACAAATTAGATCATAAAATCAAGGAGAGAACATAGGAAACTTACAGGCCCATCCATACACATTTAGGAAGCAAGCCACTGCACAACTGGAACTCTCCACGCTGTCCTGAAAATGAGTGCCAGTGTGCATTCCCATTACTGTTTAAAATAAAAAAAAAAAAAGCTGATACCAGGAATATGAAGTGACAGTGTATTTGCAGGACAGTGACACAATAAAGGTAAGTCTCTAAGTAAAGAAAGAGTGAGCTAGCAATTTCTTTATCCAGACTCATGGCTTGGTTAAAATGTAATTATAATACAATCACAAAATCTTTTAGGAAGACATTTTTTACAGACATTTGGAATGGGCTGCCCAGGGAGGTGGTGGAGTCACCATCCCTGGAGGTTTTTAAGATAAGACTGGATGTGGCACTTAGTGCCATGATCTAATAACTATGGTGGTGCTGGATCAAGGGTTGGACTTGATCTCTGAGGTCTTTTCCAACCCGGCTGATTCTATGATTCTACAAAAATCCACTCCTGTCCCCTTTTCCACCTCTTACTCTAAGTTGGCAGATTCTTTGCATTCTGTCAAAAGTAAGGGGTTGGTCTGAAACAGAGATATGTTCTCCTAATTAATCTGACTGGTGTATAAGCAAGAGAAGAGAAGGCTCAATTATTTTCTTACCTATTCCAGGGTGCTCAGACACAATAGTTGTACGATACTCTTTACAAAACACTTGATAGGCAGACATGTTTTTCTTCTTTGGCTAGTCAGAAGAAGAAAGGAAACAAAGATTTTTAATCCTGATGAGACCTTCTCCAATTTAATAAGAATTTGGCATTTATTGAAGACCTAAAGAAAAGTATGACACTTAAATCAGGAACCTTAAAAAGCAGTGTTTTATATGTTCTGGCTGAATTCAGTGTTTATGAAAGCACAGGAATCAGCCAGAACCAGTGTTAGTCCATGGCTTATCTTACAAAGTTCAACAGCAACCTGCTATTCTAATTTCAGGATCAACATCCCACTCTGTTAATGTAGCTCAGTTTTAAAACTTAAAATAAAAACCACTATCTGTTATGTTATTCACAGTACCTATTGTAGATCTGTCAAAACAATTCGGTTCTCATGATAATATTTTGTTCCATTTCTTGCATCCTTACAAAGTATTTCAAATTGGCAGAAAACAGACTGTGTAAGTACATTGACAGCAGAGGTTTTGCAGTTGCCAAGCTATGATCAAGGAAAACTTCCCAAATAGAATAGGATAATGCCTGAACAGATTTGGGCTCTGTCTGACCATTTCCTCATACAAAGCAACATTTCTCTATCTGAGCATGTAGAAACTGCTTTTGCCCATTTATAAACTTACACAGCTAGTTACATAATTTGCAAACTTGTTTGTATGCTAGTTACCATTTCTGCTACTCATTTCTTTACACAGTAACCATGGACAACTGAATTTATAAGTACAGGACAAAACTGGGAACATGGTAGTCTATAAGAATTATAATTTCATTGAATACAGGAGTAAATGGGTAAATATCTTCACTTTTCATGTACAGGAACTGTGATGATGGACTAGATCACTAGTCCAAAAGTCTGCCTGGCAATGAACCAGTCATGTTAGAAAATGATGCAGCTGTGCTTGATACCTGACCTGTACAAAGCAAAATTAGGTATAACCTTTCCAGAGAACCTCTATCGGCTAAAGACTACCTGTGCCACAAACCCAAACCAACATATGTTCCTTTTGCTACAAACAGAAATCACAGTGGCTGACTGTTTTCCAAACATGCTTTAGTGAAACCATTGATAGTGGTATTAGTTATCCTTCTGTTTCAGTTTAACATGCCTTTGTAATGGAATGCCTAATCCGCCATTACCCACCACCCAATTTCTCTTTTCCCTCCAATTTTTCCTTACTTTTTCTCTTTCTCTTTCCTTTTCCTTTTCTCTTTCCTTGTCTTTTTCTCTTTCCTTTTCTCTTTCCTTGTCTTTTTCCTTTTCCTTGTCTCTTTCCTTTTCCTTCTCTCTTTCCTTTTCTTTTTCTCTTTCCTTCTCTCTTTCCTTTTCTCTTTCTCTTTCCTTTTCTTTTTCCTTTTCCTTGTCTCTTTCCTTTTCTTTGTCTCTTTCCTTTTCCTTGTCTCTTTCCTTCTCCTTTTCCCATTTTTCAGCTTTGTCTTTCTCCTTGTCTTCCTTTTTCCTCCTTTTCTCACCTTGACCATCTGAGTGAAAAACAGCAGGAGGAGGTGGAGGAACAACATAGGGGGTACTGGGAGGTGGTGGTGACACCCTTACTTCTGCTACCGCCACAGGAGAATGCCCAGAACTCTTTTTAGACTTAGAGTGCTTCTTCTCTCTGTGTTTCTCCTTGTCCTTTTTTTTCTTACTTTTTTTTGATTTCTTCTTCTTCTTGATTTCCCGGTAGGAGTCATCTATCACTAGCTCTCCAGCCTCCAACTCTCCACCAGAAGAAGAACCAGATTCTGGTGGTGCTTCCGTACCTGGAATCTCATACTCACTTCCGTGGCCCTCTGAATGAAGGGAGGTGTCAGCACCAAAACTCTCAGAAGGCGGATGTGAGTCAGAAGGTGGTTTGTGCTTCTTTCGGGATGACTTCAGGAAGCTCTGCAGTTCATGACCCAGCAGAAATGAGCCTTGCTCATCTCGAGCTGATTTCTTTGAAGATTTCTTTGCAGCTGCTGGTGTTGAAGAGTAGGATAAAGCATCATCATCTGCTGCACTACTTTTCTCTTTTGGTGAGAGGATGAGCTTCATCTTCAAGCCATCAGGTTCACGAAGAGTAAGTGTCTCTGTGTTCACATAGAGAGGTTTCATTTTTTTAGATTTGTGGGAGCTGCCATCGTCCACTGAGTGCTCCCCACTGCTCCCACTCAGCTTTTTCTTGGTGTGCTCCTTTCTGCTTTCAGAATGGCCAGAGGAAGAATGAGATGATTTTTCAGAGGTCCTCTTTGAAGACTTTGAGCTTGTGGCCAAAGGTGAGGTGATAGCCTTGAGTAAATCCATGGTTGGATCAGCTGAGGATGGGCTAGAAGCTGCTTTTTTCTTCTTCTTTGATGGTAGATCCAGAGGCGAAACACCTGAAAAAGTTGAAGAGAAATGTACATCAAGATGACTCCCTTAAAGACAGCAAAGAAGGGAACTGGGGATCCTGCAAGACTTACAATTTACAGCTAACAGATTTACAGCCTGGCTTAAACAGAACATGTCTCAAGACTGCAGCCAGCTCAGCATGGTCTTACTGATACAATTCAGAGGCTGTAACACCCGAGCTGGTGTTAAAAAACTTTAAGGCAGGAAGACAGTAGGAAAGTTCCGGAAGTTTTGTCAAACTCTATTCTATTGTGAAGTAACTTATTTTGATAGAAATATATCTTACTGAGCCTGAAATTACACCTTGAGTGCAAGGTTTTCGTGCCATTTTTAGCTAATGTGAGACCAATTAATTGAAAATATGAGCTTTTTCATTCTCTAGACAGATTTTCATGAAATTTCAGCTTGGCTTTCTCCTTCTATTGTGCCAAAACCAAAATTCTAAACATGTTAAGCTTTTATGAGGTGAACTGTCATCTTCTGGCCAACTTACTGTGAGAATAACTGAGCAGAAAAGCAAATGCCAAATGAGAAGGCAAGGGTTAGAAAGCTACAGCTTGTCAATGAAAAGGGGGTGGAAGATCTCTACCCCCAACAATGGCAACTTGTTAAGCTAGACTCTGAAAATATAATTCCCTAATCTTCTGCTGTCTGGTGCTGATCAGCGTCAGGTTTCCGAATACTTGTTCTAGACAGGTTGACTCCCCATAAAATGCTAACCATAAAGCTTCATGACACTGGTTTAAGAGCATCCTTTCCTCAAAGTCATGATCTGTTAGCCCCTTCCCTGCCTGATTACTATTTTACCTCTGTAGCAGAACTCATCGGAGGAGTGCTTTTTCTTCTTTTTGTGAGGTTCTGTCCCCGGAAAAAACTCACTGTCCTGGAATAAGAAGAAGAAAGTTGCTGACAAAAAAGAGGGAAATAATATGAGATTCACACGGACTATTAACATAGATAATAATTCGTAGGAGATATCAAGAGTTATCTGTACTACTGTAACATCAAGGAACCCTAGGTATGAGCCAGGATCATCATTCTGGGTGCTGAGAGGAAACATGCTCTGTCCCCAAGAGCACACAGTGTAGGTTTAAAGTAAAACAAAACTCAAGTTATGAGGAGGTGGGAGAATACAAAAAATGGTATTAGTCAGGATTGGTTTCAGCACATCAGTCACCAGATCAGCATCAAGCTTTCTGTAAGCATTGCAGCACAACAGGGCTTCAAGCAAATTGAAAGACAGATCTCTAGAGGGAGGTCACCCCAAAGTGAGAGGAGCAATGCACAAGAAAACTTGAAAAAGCACATTTGAAAATGTTAAGAAATGGGCAGTGAAAGCTAGCTGTTGGAGATTAGCAGTTCATGTTTAATATGCTAAATAAGATAAAAGAACTGACAGGAGGTACGAAGAGATGACAACTAGAATGGGCCAAAAATATGTCCTTAATATGTCATGTCCCCTAATTATTATTTGTGTCTTGACCAATTTACGATCCGAAACTGAAGCTCCTCTGCAGAATTCATCTGCATGGTAAAAGAATTTTAAATTAGAACTTGTTTTCCTGATTAAAAAAAATCACAAGGTAGTCACCTTTGAACTAACAGCAGAACTTTTAGCTCAAAGAGGAATGTTTTGCAGAAACTTAAGTTGCCACTATGTGATTTCAAAAGTTAAGGCCCCAAAGAGGTGAACAGGGCAAGTTCATATCTCTCAAGAGCTATTGTTTCAGGCTGTCTGCAGAATCAGGAAAACAACAGTGCATCAGTTAACATTATACCCATCCTTTCTTGGCTACTAATACAACCATAAATTCCAAATTATTTTTATGTGCGTAAGAAGTTATTCATGGAATCTCATGACTTGCAAGGTTCTATATCAAGACTAGGACAACATCCTACTACCAGAAAAATCAGAATCAGTTGTAACTGAGATTGACCCCCTCCTTTTCCCCAGGAAAGTTACTGAACAATACAGGACATGATTAGCTGCTCTTGCTGCCTTCTACATGCATTTCTAAATTAAAAAAAAAAAAAGAACAAGAAACCCATTCCATCACCAGCTTTACACACATCCTTACACCTTCAACTTTTCCTCTGAGGCTTTCCTACCTGAGTTGCTACCTCGTCTTCCTCTTGCAGCAGATCCTTGTAAGAGCGCTTCTTCTCTCGCTGTATCCTGCTGGTTGCCAGCCCGTCATCAACACCTCGGTGACTCTCTAGGAACTCTATCGTTTATGTGAAATGGGAAAAAAGGAAGAAATGAAATACTCCATTAAGGAATGATAGGTGTGTGGACCACGCACAAAATAAGCGAACAGCAGATGCTGGCACTGAGTGATGCGCAAAACTCAACAAGCACAGGGGCCTAAAGGGGCCTGTACTGTCTGACCACAGAGATGGGGCTCGGTGCTCTAACACTCTAACACAGTCACTCCAGATTTAATTTGTAACCCTTGTATATTCCTTCCTAAAGACAAGTGGACCTAGAAATGTTACCATGACTAAACTTATAATTACTGCTGGTCCCCAGTTCCATTGACCTGGCAGGGAAAAGAAAGGCTGCAGTGGCACAGTTTCCAGTCAGGGTGTCTGCACAAGAAAATACCACCCATTTTTCTCAAGTTCTAATCCCAGTACTTCACACCTGAAAGTCAAGGGCTTGGGATCCTCCAGTAACTTGGTCAGGTTAAATTTAAGAGCTCCACAGCACACTAGCTTCTGTTCCCACTCTGACTGCATGGCCTGGCAAGGCTGCAGAGGGAGGGCACCCTTTTTTTTTTTTTTTCTGCAAATCTCTGTGAGATTATGAAGCAGTCATACCTTCTTTCTTCTTGGCGCCATCATAAGCCATGGTGGTCCGGCAGGAGCCTGTGAATGAGTTGCCACGTCTGGGCTCCTTCCCCCGTTCCCATCTATAGGAAAAGGTCTGAGAAACAGAGAATGAAAATAACTCTCCCATAAAGAAGAATCACTATGTAAATTGGGAAACTTTCTCTGAACAAAGTGAAGATTCTCTGGAAGACAGTGTGAAAGGAGTCTACCTCTTGGTGGGTTTTTGTTTATTATTCAGGCTTGACAGATTTTTTTTAAAGTAAAATGGATGTTGTATTATTTTCAAGATAGAAAAAGACCACCTCTTCCGTATAAAGTAATTTCTTTACAAAAATAGAAGAGGGTGAGAAGGCAACTGAATTTGATTTTTATGACACACAAAACTGTACCCAAACTGTGTCAAAGCCATTTTTTTGTCAGGAGCCACTGTAGCAAAGATTAGGATGTTTAAAAAGAGATTTCAAACCCTTGAATATCAGATAAAGTGAGGGAAAAGAAGGGATCAGGCAGAAATCATTATATTACAAAAACCAATAATTTAAAATCATTTTAACTAAAGGATCACACGTTTTGTAGTAAAGGTGTGCATCCTTTTGATGTGTTTCCCAATGCTACCACTGCAGCCATTCTCAATGCCAGCCTGGGAGAGGGGATGGAAGAGAGCACTCCTTTTCACTAGGCCTTCTCCAGCACCCTAACCTCTGCCAACCCACAGGTTTCAGGCCTCCTCTAACTGAGTCACCCTGTTCCACAGTTATTGGCATATAAAATGACACTACCATTATGGAATAGCCACACACTGGATTTCACAGAGCAAACAACTTTTGTTCTTCAGTCAGTGACCAGCTTAGCAAGAAAAGATCAACTTTCTGCTCGTAGGTGATTAAACCAATCACACCCAACTGACTCTGTGTGTTTGTATGTATGTGCACACGTGTAAACACTTAACGATGAAGACCATGCAGCTCGTTCATTCCAGCTGTCACAGTAACTGTGCCACACTGAAGTTACATTGGAATGCTTGGGGAGCAGGGAATTTGTGCTTGTACATCCCTGCACACCCCTCAGTTTTACAGACAACTGGCTGATGTACAATGTACAACATATCAATTTCTATAGTGGTTACTCAAGTGACATAACAAAGTCACAACTGAATCAAGCATGAGGGTACACAGGAAATGTTTCTGCTTAAATTCATAGGCATACACATTATTTCTTCAGCTTTTGGGAACCCATCCATCACAAGATGTCAAGTCAGTATTCCAACCCCTATCCATTGCCGGTAGCAAGCACAGCAATTCTGCCAACACACAAGAGCACTGCACATGTATATGCACTAGAGCACTACACTTTGCAATAAAAAAAGGCATCTTGCTACTTGTGGGCTCAAGATCTTGAACCAGATGTTGTCAACATCTCGTGATGTTCATCTGTCAAACAGACTTCTGTGGGAAGGCACACAATATTAAAGCGTTATGCTCAAGAGGGAAAGGGCCTAATACAGATACTGCTCAGCAAAACAAAGCCGGAGACAGTCATTCATGAATGGATGACCTGGAGAAACTGGGACTTCTTTGCAGCTACATGCATACCTTTTACTCTATTTTCAATCTTACCTGCTTAGCAGGTACAAAGGTTGGTAGATACTGCTCAGAGGGGCTCACCACCAGAGGGGCTCCCACCCAGCAAACACAAAACGTACCCTTAATTAGTTTCATCCTATAAATCCTAATTAGGTTCCTCTGCTTCGAATTCCTCGGTGTCAGCAATGACCGCACAGGCTCGGTGAGGAAGCTCTCCTTCCACGTCTCCCGTTCCTTAACGCACACGCCCGGGGGATCGAGCCCCAGCCTCGCTGTCCTGCATCCCCGGGGCCCCGCACTTCGCTCCCGCCGCCGCCAGACCGCGGGAAGCGGCTGCCTCGCCTCATTTCCCGCCGGCGTTCCCAGCTCCCAGCCGGGCCCGAGGGAAACGGTCACCGGCCCCTCCGCGGCCACCGGCCCGGCGCGCATGCGCCCCAGCACCCCCGGCCGGTCCCGCCGCCGCCTCCGTTCAAAAGCGGGCTCGGCGCCCCGCGCCCCTCACCCGAGGCACGCTCCAGCCTTCGCGCCAGCCCGCGGCTCCGCTCGCTCTGGCGCAGGCCCGGGCGTGCCCCGGCCGCGGGGCGGCCTCACTGGCGACACGGCCCGGCGGCGCCGAAGCCGCGGGCGCGAGGGTGGGCACGGTCTGCAGCCGCCTCACTCGGCCTCGCCGCTTCCCGCCGCGCCGCCCCCGCCGCCGCCATCTTGGACTGGGAGACAAGGGGCCGCAGCCAGGGCCGATCGGCCGAGCGCCGAGTGCCTCCAACGCGGCGCCCGCGGGGTGTGGGAGAGGGCGGGGCGTGGCCTTGCCGAGCGCATCGATGGCTGGGTGGGAGTCGCACATCCCTGGGACACGCGGGCGGGACACGCGCGGGGCACCCCAGCACAGTCCCGGCTCTCACCCCCACCAGCACCTGTGGAGCCCACACCCACCTTCCCCCCGGCTTTGGCGCAACCTCCTCCTCACGTGTGTGCGTCCCGGCACAGCTTCCCCGTTCTCATCGTCCCTGTCTGCAGGAGACTGACCTGGCTGGGCTTGCAGCCTGGCTTAGTTGTTGGCTGCTCGTGCCTGCAGCGGTGGGTCAATGGGAAAGGGTGAAATCCTCTTATTAAACGCTTACTGAGCCAGCGCTTCCATGAGATTAGTCACGCACGCACAGGAACGGGCACATCTCCCGCAAGGCCATCTGATTGCCCGAGGAACTGAGCGGATGCACGGCACAGGTGGAGAGTCAGGACCAGCCGGGGCAGAGAGAAGCACGTCTGAACAGTACCCTCGGGGCTGCTGCCGTGAAGGCATCACGCAACCCACACATCCATTCTGATCAACTGTACAAAGGTAGCAGGCAAGAGAAAGGCAAATTACCCTCAGCATCTTCTAAAGGGCTCGTTAATTACTGCAAAAGATTCAAGACAGAGGTAAAAAAGCTCGAGAAACAGCCAAGTCAGAAAAGACAAGCCTTTCCCCCACTAGGTTAGCCTTTATCTACTCTGACCTCTCGGGAGGTTCAACTTTACCTCATCATCTCCACTGATGCAGGAGTTTTTTTTATTTAGATGCCGGCAGATAGTCGCATGATTCTTTGTCAGATGCTGCTCACAGTCACACGCTGTCTGCAGACTACAATTCCCAGCCGTGCCTGAGGTTAAACCTGACCCATCACAGACACGCAGTTCCCCAGCCCTTACAGATCTTCCTTCTGGTCCTGCTGATGCTTCTGTGTCCTGACAAGTACATAATGATGACAGTAATTATTTGCAGTCCAGTAGGGCCTAGAGGAATTTGAAGAGAACAGAGGTCAGTGCCTGTTATGCTGTGTAAAAGTGTAGTTTGATCCAAAGTGGGAGGTACAGCCTGTATACACAGATCAACGTCTGCAAGTGCAGCAGCTGTAACACATCAGAGTAAAAACAACCAGCCCTTAGGCTGAGCACAAAGCCTATGCAGATGTTCTCACACATGTACACACGTGTGCCTGCTGCTGGTAAAGCTCACTAAAATCACTCCTTGTCCTCCAACCCATAACCCAGGGAGGAATCACCCAGGTGGACAAGTCCCTCTGCAAATTTATGACTAGGATCTTGCCTGAGTTGATCCTGACGTGACCTGCTCCTAGTCTGATTGTTGATGATAATTGTTTTTAGGGATCCCAGTGATGGATTCATACCCCATTTGACAATGCACAACACAACAAAAACACAGTTCCTGTGTTTTTACAGTCTTCAGCTTTCTCACTCGTATTACACATGGTACAAAAACATCTATGGATGTAACAGAAACATCAGTTAACTCCTGGGAGCACTTGACCTGTGTGTCAGGTGGAGGCAGAATGGGAGCAAGTTAGAAGAAGCTGGTAGCATGGTTGGGAGAGGCCAGGTACAGCCCAAAGGAACAGGGATTCAGATTGCTTTCAAAATGGAAAGCTTAAATTAGCCTGGTATTTGATGATAGCAAGCATTTGGTAATGATAGCTAGTAAAATGTAAGGATGGTATGTTTAATATTCTGCACCCTAGAATGAGAAGGCATTTGAGCTCCCCTGCAGTTTAATGTTTTTAGTGCTGGATGGTTCACAGGTATTAGATTGTGTCAGTGACTGTATGTGGAGGAGAGAGAATGAATTTGCAGGTGAATTTGCAAAAATGAGCATATAGCAGGATATTTGCACAATAAAGCCACTGAAGCACCAATCATTCAGACTTCCCCTGGTGAGATCTTTCAATGCTCCTTTCCTCCCCCAGAACAAACATAATAATAATAATAATAATAATATTTGTAATAGTGACAATAATAACATGTAGTTCCTCCTACTGCACTTTTCATCAGTGAAGAAATGCTCAGAAAAATTCGTTGCAATCATATCCATTCTTCAGAGCTGATAAAGGGAACTGACCAGAACAAACCATTGGCATTTCTTGGGTGCTATCAGACAGCTTAGCCTTTCCGTTTTCTAGAAAATCCAGGAATCCCTTTAGAGTGTACACCTAGATTAAATAGGTCAGGTGGGGAAAATGTCAGAATGCTGATAGCAAATTTAAGAGAGTCACAACCCCTTCAAATCCTTAACAGTTGACAGAATTTTTTCTTTGTAGTCTGGAATATAAGAGGTCATAGCGAGTGAATCAGAAAATCAAACAGTCCCCGTAGGTTTTAAGACCTGAAGTGGAGCTTCAGTCAGTCTCAGACTGTTGTGTGAATATTGCTTATTCCTTTTGCTCAGAGTATCTTGCATTCTTTTTGCCTATATCCCAGGGAGAGAAACTGCACAATGGTACATGATATGTTCCCTCAGGTGTCTTCTTGTCTGTGAGATACATATTGTATAACGTGCTCTTGCCAGTGCAGAACGTTTTAGGATGTATGTATAGTTTCCTGTGCTTAATGCAAGATTAGTTGTATGCTAAGGGCTTACCGCTCATGAAGCCTCCCTATATGGTCTTGCTTTCCCCACATTTTATCCACCATATATCCTTCTCTGCTTATTTGCTCCTGACTGAACAACAGTCCAAGCTTCTAGGATTAGTAACTCTTTTTTGTTTCATTGGTTTTTAGTACTTAATTCTGTGGTGTCTCAAGTACAATGAGTATAAGAGGAGCACAAGCTTACAACCAAGTTATGTACTGAATTAAATACAGCACTCAGAGCTGGATGAACAATTATCAATTTTCCCTGTCATAGTTTGTAACTCATAAATCTCTTTCCACTTCTGTCCCATTTTTCCATATTTTTTTCCTAGATTCCAAGATGATTTGGCATTAACTGAAATGGGGCTCAGATTAAAACCTCTGATCCCCACCTATCCATGAAAAGCCTGCTTTGTTTTACACAGACATAGGAAGAGAAGAGAGTTACTCTTCTCTGTGCACATTACAAGATTCTATGTCACCAGCTACCAAGCTGCTCTTAAAAAGGAAGGACAGCTTGTTGCAATTAAATAGGTTCTATGAAAACTAGATACATTTTAAAAGGCTTATGGCTATGAATATGGAGGAAGTGACCACGATGTTGCAGTGGACTTTAGGTGTAATGGACCTTGCTTGCTTGCTTGCCAGTTGTCTCAGCCATATAGTTTTCCTTATTTATAAAGATGACTGGTGACTCCTGTTTGAATACAAGAACTTGCTTCCTTAGAGAAGCAAAACTTCAAAAGATTTGTTATGTGCATTGTTTCAGTGTCTTACTTAAATTACTTCCCATTTGTCTTTGTTTTCTTGCAGGATGCATTCATTTTCGTGCCTCTTCATCTTTCAGTATAGTCATTAATGAAACCACAAGGGTGTGTGCATTCATTTGTAATGTGAATACAACAGCCTGAATGTTCCCCAGAGCCACAGCATCTGTCACGGGTGGGGACAACACCTTCTCCCCCTGCTCCTGGTGCTGCTCCCTCTGTATTCATATTCGGAGAGAGCTAAGGTGAGAAGGGAAGTGAATGTCCATCTGGTAAGGAAAAAGTATGGTGAGTTACAGTAGGATTAGTGGGGTCCAGAGTGGGTATGATTAGGCAAAGGGAAAAGGACCATACCAGGGCGATATGCATAGAGGAAAGGCTAAATGCAGGCAATCAGTCAGCATTGAATTTGCCTCTTTTCACTGATTTTGATCTCTCCCTTCTTACCACCTGACAAGGAGGTAGGATGGTTTAATCTGAGTTTCACAGGGACGTGCAAGGCCTATTGTGCTGCTTTCAGCACTGAGCTCTCCCTCCATGCCTGGTCCCTGGAGACCTTGCTGGTCTCTACTGACTGTAATTCCTCACAACCCTGGTCTCATAAAACATCAGGCATTCAGCTTTATCTGTATCCTTGATTGGCATTTTCCCTTTTTTCCTTGAATCTGTTGATTTATTTAATTTCCTCCTCTCATACCTTATTCCATGATAGCTCTCTTCTGTACAGGCCAGACTGACACTGCTCTACAGTGTGGCATGATCCTTCACTGTAGGAAAAAAGCCTGTTACTCTGTGGTGCTTCATTTCTGCAGTTTTCTGTTTATGACAGACCCACAGCATCGACATCTGTCCTGTACTGTGTAGCAGAAATTACTGTATTACAAAAATTTGTCTTCAAATAATGTGGATGGGT